CCCCCGCCAACCCAAATTTGGGGGAAGGGGGATGGAGGAAAAATTGAGGGAGGGGGTGATTCCCCCCCAAAAAAAATTGAGGGACCCCTCAAAAAATTGGGGTAACCTCCTCCAAAAAAACCTCACATTCCAAAACCATCAAAAATAGCAAAAAAGGCAAAAAAATTTGAAAGATTTTGGGGAGAACCCCCCAAAAATGTGTCAAAAATGAGGGACCTCCCCCTTGAATCCAAGAAATTTTTGGGAAAATTTTTTTCCCAAAAGTAATGGGTTTTTGTGGGTGGCAGGGGAGGAAAGATCCCCTCCAAATTCCCGGGGGTTTTCCTGAGATCTAGTGGAGGCACTTGGTCCTAGAGGGAGACAAAAAGGTCATTTTAGGGAAATTAAGGGAATTTTGAGGGATTTGGGTGAATTTTAGGGAATTTGGGGATTTTTGGGGGGGTCTGGGGGCAGGTCTCAATTTTGTGGGGTCTTGTGTTCCGGGGCCGCAGGATCATGACCAGGGAGGCCACATTTACCAGGAACAGGCATAGGACACCAACGAGATGGGATTCTGCTCAGGAAAACATTTATTCAGCTCAGGAACAAACTCAGATCCAGAGACAGCCCCAAACAGAGGCAGGGAAATGGGGTTTGAGAACCAGAGTGGAGTTCAAGGTCAGGGACCACTGGGAACACAGCAAGGGAGAAACCCCAGAGGCCCAAACCCAATCAGAAATCCCTGGGCTGCCACCCCACGAGGGGTCCAGGGTGGTTTCTTCCTGGGCTCACAGGGCCCATCCTCCGAGGCAGAGGGATGGAATTCACTCTTGCCCACACCCCTCACTTTAACAATGTTCATTTGAAACTCAATCCTTGCCTCCCTGGGCAGGGGCACCTCACACAAAACCTCACTCAGTAATGGGCTCCCCCCCCATTCATCATCCCCAAACTTTGGCTGTCTCATTCCAGACCCCACCCCACCTCCCCAATCCAAACCCCAACCCATCCCATCCCTGCTGGACATCAAGACCCCCTTCCCAAGCTCTATTTCCCCCATTTCACACCTTGAAATCTACTCAATCCCACCCATCCTGCCCCACCCAATGCCCATCTCACCCCTCCTGATTTGCATCCCACTTCACCCAGTCCCCTTCCAACCCCATTCCACCTGATGCCTTCAGAAGGCTGACCTAGAACAGAGGCTGGACAGAGTTAAGAATAATGTTTATTAAAAGGCCTTAAAGGATACACCTTGGGCAGTGCAAGAACCTGGCCAGGGCTACACCCAAGAAAGACCAAAAATGGTCACAAAAATGATCATGAGGTCTCACATTTTCAGAATTTTAAGTCCATCTGCATATTGGGGCTCATCTTCCAGTTACAGCTTCAGATGATGAATTCCCATCCTTCTTGTTTTCTCTCTTCAGTCCATCCTTGTTCATGCTTTTGGGCCTGGAACTTGTAACGACTGTCCTTGGTATCAAGCTAGAAAAGGAATTGTTTTGTCTACCTACTCTGTGAAGAGAGCTCACTAACACTTAATAGGAAGTTCAAAACTACAAACCTAGGCAGTGCAGAATATGAAAAATAGGAAAGCTAAAACTTAAGACATCACACCCTGAGGGGCTGTGGAATCCAGGAATTTTGGGTGGGATTGAGTAGATTTCAATGGCACTGAGTGGTTTTGAGGTGACAGATAGAACTCGCTCATCTCCTTGAGTGCCAAGACACGGAGACAAATATACCAAATACCCCCCAAACCCTCCCCATTACCTCCCTGAATACCAGATTCCCTTCAAGCACTAGTAAAAAGTGAGGCTTTAGATGCCTTTGATGAATTTCTTGACTTTTTACCCAAATTTTGTCTATTTTAAAGGGATGAAGATGAATTAAAAGAATATCAGGGCCAAATCAAAATGACCACCAGCCCAGTGTCTTCCCAACACAGATCACTGGGAACGTGGGTCATCAGGGCTCTGCCCAACATGGGTCCTCTGATGGGGGATGGAGCTGGGGCAGCGCACGAAGCTCCTCCTGCACTTGGGGCACTCACAGGGCTTCCCTTAGTGGTGCCTCTGTTGGTGTTGGGTCAAGTTAGAGCTCTGGATGAAACTCTTCTCACACTCAGGACACTCATAGGGCCTCTCCCCAGTGTGGATGCGCCGGTGGACGGCGAGGTTGTAGTTTCGCTTAAAGCCCTTCCTGCAGTCGGGGCAGCGGAAGGGCCTCTCATCCGTGTGAATCCGCTGGTGCTGGAGGAGATGAGAGCTGATCCGAAATGTCTTCCCACATTCGCAACACTCATAGGGCCTTTCCCCAGTGTGGATCATCTGGTGGATGGTCAGTTGGGACCTCCGGATGAACATAGGGACTTTCCCTGGTGTGGGTCCTCTGGTGGCTGATCAGGCTGGAGCTCTGGCTGAAGCTCTTACCACATTTCCCACACTCGTAGGGCCTCTCCCCAGTGTGGATGCGCTGGTGCCTGATGAGGTTGGACTTTTGATTGAAGCCCTCCCCACAGTCAGGGCAGCGGAAGGGCCTCTCCTCTGTGTGAATCCGCTGGTGCACAAGGAGATGGGAGCTGGTCTGAAACCTCTTCCCACACTCAGGACACTCATAGGGCCTCTCCCCAGTGTGGATGCGCTGGTGGATGGTCAGGTGGGACCTCTGGCTGAAGGTCATCCCACATTCCCCACACTCGAAGGGCCTCTCCCCAGTGTGGATGCGCTGGTGCCTGATGAGGCGGGAGTTGTACTTGAAGCCCTCCCCACAGTCAGGGCAGCGGAAGGGCCTCTCATCTGTGTGAACCCACTGGTGCTGGAGGAGACTGGAGCTGATCCGAAACCTCCTCCCACACTCAGGACACTCGTAGGGCCTATCCCCAGTGTGGATCATCTGGTGGCAGATCAGTTTGGTGCTCCGGCTGAAGCTCTTCCCACACTCCAAGCACTTGTAGCGCTTCTCCCCATCCTGAAGCTGCTCATGGACCACCAGCTCAGAGCCCCGGCTGGATCTCCGGCCACCTTCCCGGCACAGGGTGGGTCTTTCCTCCTCAGAGCACCCTGGGATGGGTTTGGAGCCCCTCCTCCTGCGGGATCTCCGGAGCTTTTCCTCCCCATTGGATTCCTGCACTGTGGTGCTGCTCAAAATGGCCCCTTCCACAAGGTTCTGCCGTGGGGATTTGTCCTCCCTGGTCTCCATCCTCAGCTCCTTGTCTGGGGGAGGAAGGACAAGGAGAGGATGGGATTTGCCTCCGTGCCAGAGGGAAGGGGAAGGAGATCCCCCCAGTGCATCCCCGGCAGGACGGCGTCGGCAGCGGGGTTGTCCTGCAGCCGGGGGCCATGCTGGGCTGGGAGATGGAGCAGGAGAGAGGGGGAAAGGGGCACTGACTTCCTTCTCACCTGTCTGGGTGTCCTGGGGCATCTTCCTCTTCCTCACAGCCTCCTTCTCCATCCAGCCAAGGTTTGGGAATGAGAAATCCTTGTTTGGGGAAAAATACAATTCATGAGCATATTGGGTTAGGGGGTTCCTCCTGCCCAAGTCCCTCTCTAGAAGTCACCAGCCATCTGGAGTCCATAAAAACCTCCCAAACACCAAGATTCAGCCCTGAAAATGCCTCCCAGGAGTTCCCTATCTCTGGTCTCTCCCCTTTGGTGTTCAGTGGTTTCCCCCTGTCCCAGCTCCTGGGGGTACTGAGGGCTCCCCACCTACTCAGTCCCTGCCCTCCTCAGGCTGCTGGGAGTGCCAGGAATCTGAAAAGTTTTCCCTGTTTCCATCTCCCCACTTAGGGATGCTGGGACCCCCCAATTTACCCCCAAGGGGCATTTTCTGCTCAGCTTTGGAGTTCTTCATTCTCCAAACATTCCACCAGAAAAACCCAACCCAGGGATCCCCCAGGATATCTGGGCAAAGCTCCCCCTCCCCGGTCACCTGTGGGATGGGGGATGATGATCCCGTGGATGGGGGGGGCTATGAATTCAGGGAGCGCTGGACCTCGTGGCCCCTTCTCCTTTCCCTGATCCTCCTTTGTCCCTCCTCTACCTCTTGCTCCCCCTCTTCCTCCCTCCTCCACCTCTTCCCTAACCCCACCTCCCGCTCAATCCCCCGCGCTATTTGAGCCACTCAGAACACAGTTCCGCGCCCAAACCTCCTGCCCTGCCTCGCGCCGTAAAGAGCCCGGTTACAGCTCCCCAGGTTCCCCCCAAGTGCTCCTGAGCCGTATACATTCGCCCCGAGCACCTGCAGCTCGGACGCAAAAGTCTTCTCCAAGTCCTTCCCCACACCGCCAAACGCGCCTTCCGAGCCACTTCCGGGACTACAGCTCCCATCATGCTCCGCGGCGCCCATAGAGCGCTATTCCAGCCGGGACTTCATCTCCCGTCATGCCCCGCGCCTCACCGGAATCCAGTGGAGCTGCGCCTTCAACTCCCGTGATGCTCCGCGGCCCCGTTAAACTGTATTATACCGGCGCCTACAACTCCCATCATCCCCCGCGACCCAGAGATTTCCCCGTTACAGCCCCCTAAGTGCCCGCCCGGACCCCCAAAGTGCCCCCAGATTCCCCTCCCTGACCTCCAAGTGCCCCCCTGGACGCCCAGGTGCTCCCCCGGACCCCGAATTGTCCCACAGAATCCCTAAGTGCCCCTCCAAGTGCCCACCCGGCTCCCCCAAATTTGGGGTTCCTCCAGACCCCCAAATTCTCACTAAATTCCCTCCCCAGACTCAAAACTGCCCCAAATGTTCCTCAGAAAAGTCTCCATGGACCCCAAAGTGGCCCCTTTTACACTGTCTGAGAAAATTATTAAAAAGATGATCAAAGGACTAAAAATTGGAGCAATTGGCATAAAGTAAAAGAAATAGTGGTCAATTAATTAATGAAGGGAATTGTGGTACTTAGAACCAAAGACCAATAATGTTTTTTGTCCCTGAAAATGTATCAATTCTTTTATATAAATATAAAAATTAGGTTACAAAAATACAGAATAATATTATAAAAATAAAATTTTAGTTTTTATTAATTAATTAGATTTTAATGATAAAGAAAAATTATAAAGAGAAATGTTTTCAATGTTTTGGGATGTCAGTCCCAGGTGGGTGATGTCAGACATGCTGAGGCTCGGGGTGAGGAGCAGGTTGTCCAAACAGGGGCAGCTCACAAGGGGCTCATTCTTCTCCCTGACCAGACTTCCTAAGGAGACATTCAGCATCAGGATTGTAAAGAGCAAATCGTGACCTCCTGATCAGTACACAAAGATGTTTACAGTTTGAGCAGTAGAATGTTGTCACCATAAGGTGCCTTCTTTGTTAATATACCTCATGTTGTGTCATGTTTGGTAAATACCAATGTTGTTGTAACTGTCTTTGTTAAAATACTGTTATAAATGAAATTAGAATTTTGACAACTAGGTCCCTTGGGTTAATGGCAGTTTAATTAAAAATGAATACAATTTACTAAACTGAATAGTAATGTGGTATAAAAGAATACAGTTTAGTAAAATAATACAGTTTAATAAAAAATTAAAATTTATATATATAATCTGCTAGTCATTAAGTATGATTAAAGCATAAGCAAAACCGACCAGGGTACAGAGGCTTCCCACCCTGCCTCACGTTCAAAACAAAGCACTTCAAGCTAAACTTATATACTGTATGCTTATACATATTCATTAATGTTTCCTGTAAGTTCCCTCCTATTTCCAATTTTTCTGACTTTACGTCACTTTTATTCACACTGCATGCCTCACTTGTTGTTAGGAGGTCTTCAGTCTTCTTTTGGTGGTCTTTTGGCAAAGGCTTCT